AGAGATTATCATGTCTTCTAACTTGAATACTGCACTTGCTAAATGCTGAGTATTTCCTTACATCAATGGCAATGTGATTAATAGCTGTGTAGTATTTCACCATGTGAATACAGAATAATTTGTTCAATGGATTATTGAACATTTAGATAGAATGGCAAACAAGGGTTCAAACCAAGGTTGACTAAGTATTAACTTCCTTTGTAAAAGAGAATGAATGTGTATGTGGCTTAGTCATTGCCCGAGAATCCTAGAAAGCAGCTGGTTAAAGCCGTAGGAAGTGATTTCTGTCTGTCTCCTTGCTCAGCAAGTTACACATGTGATGAGTCAACCATTTCAGAATCTTCTATGATTGTAATTGTTTCCATTGTCAATATGCACTTTACACATGGAAATGAATCTCATGGTTACTAGCACATCTGCCTGAGGTGAGAGAGACCACATCTGCCAGAGTGCAAGGGGGAGATCAACAGAATCCTCTTACACAGATAAAAAGTTCTGAACTGCCAATATCATTCTTACCTTGTGCTTACTTAAATGTTTATTTAAACCCAAAGTTCATTCTTCCTTCTTATGGTAGATGTTTTAATGTGCAGTAAATGGGGGGAGGCAGATATTTTCAGCCATTGTTAAAAAACAGAGCCATTAGAAAACAGAAGCCTTGTGGGCGAAAGACTGATAACAACTCTAGAAACCACCACTCATCTAGTTCTCCAGAGATGAACAGAAATGAAGACTGGTTTAACCCATTTAGTGCCAAGCAGGAATCTTCCCAGAGTGCTGCTGCCCCGATGGTTGGGAGGGGTATGTGGCTGGACTCACGTGTCTGGGTTCTCTGGGATGATCCCATCTGCAGACTTCCCAGGACCCTGGATAGATTCCATGGCTGTGGAATAGAGGACTTTCTGCATCCCAGGTCGCTTTGCATCAGGCGCATTTTCTAAGGGCTCTTCTTTGTCTTTAAGGGGGTGATCCAAGATGTGGATGCCCAGCAAAAGGCTGTAGTCCATAATCTTGAAGCTTTCAAGCACCTGAGGAAGAAAAAGACCCAGGAGGTCAGGCAATTCAGAGTGCCTGTGAACCTAAGAGCTCTAGATCAGCAAACCACTCCTGCGCTCTCCCATTAAGAAGCAGGCAGATGGAACATCAAAATACCCCAGGTAAGGCTGCTGGAAGAAAGGACTGCCATGAGCTGTTCATGCTAATCTAAAGGAAGCACATCTTTTTTTTCGACCCTCCACAAATATTTCACTAATAACACTTACTGAACACATTACATGTGCCAAATGCTAAGTGCTTCCCTTCGATTCAATCTTCGTGCAGCCCTATGCAGCAGTTGTTGCTGGCTCTGCTTTGTAGATGTAGAACATGGAGACTGAGAGATAAACTAATGAGCTCAAACACACAGGGCACAAGCACTAGAGATCCAAGAGGTCAGCTCTGGCATCACCCTCTTTTTAAGCACCAGAGCAGAGAAACCCTCAGCCCAGTCTCAGAAGCTGTGTGTGCCTCAGCATGAACTCAGCTGCAAAGTCCTTTTGCCTGGATTCTGTTCTCAACGTCTGAATCTTGCTGAGTTTAGTGATTTCCCTTTCAAAGCCTGTCTTTCAAAACTGCCATTCATTTCCCTGTAGTATGTCTTTTAAAAGATATGTGATCTCAACAAAGAACAGGGCTTAATGCTTAATTATCTACCCCACAGACACCCCGACAGATAGTGGGGAGGTGAAGGAACTTAAAATAGGTAGATGTAACCAGAAGAAGGAGACAGTAACGCTGTGAAAGAAAAATGACAGGATGGGTGACCATCCATCAAAGTAGCTTCCAAGTACAGGGGACTTCTACACTCTGGATCCGACTTAGACAGAAAATGTCTGTTCAAGAGGAATGGCTAAAAACTGGGTATTTTCCTGCACAAACATGCTTTTTTCTTTCTTTCCTTTTTTTGATAGAGTCTCACTATGAAGCCCTGGCTGGCCTGGAACTTACTATGTAGTCCAGGCTGGCCTCAAACTCACAGAGCTCCCCATTTCTGCCTCCCAAGTGGTGGGATTAAAGGCATGTGCCACTAAACTAGGCTTATATGGCCAGCTGAACAACGTCCTCTTCTATTTGAATGAGTTCTCTCTACTGCACACTGTAATACCTGATATTTCTCTCACAAAATTGCTCAGGAAATCAAAACATGCAATGTTTTGTCCTGGACCTTAGTTAAGAAATCCCTTGGTCAACTGCAGCCTATAGAAATTGTTTAACAAAGAACCAAAAACCCCAGAATTTTTTACGCTTCTCATTTTCCTTCAGCCTGTTTTTTTTTTTTTTTTTTTTTTTTTTTTTTTTTTTTTTTTGGTATTTTTGAGACAGGGTCTTCCTTAGTCCCAGCTGTCCTGGAACTCACTATGTAGGCCAGGCTGGCCTTGAACTCACAGAGATCCTTCTGCCTCTGCTGGGATTAAAGGTGTGTGTCACCAAATGCCTCTGCTAGCATTTTTTTTTTTTTTAAAATAAAACACGCATGCTATTTTAAAGAGGTAGTTGGACTGGAGGATGACCGTGGATGCAGTTTCATAGAGGCTAGCTGACAAAAAGCTTTGTGAAATGGAGTAGGGTGTGCATGACCTTCAAAATACCCCGGTCCCTGGATCTTGGTCATCTTTGCCTTTAATGAGGAATATACAATGGGCTGCAAACAAGTGTCAATATTTACCTTTCATTTTGAAACCCAGAGCCTTGTGCACAGTAGGTAAGTACTCTACCACTAAGCTATAGGCTCAGACTCACCCTTCATCTTTTGATATACTGAATTTATATTTTCAGAGTGAGACAGAAAAGAGTTGAGAGTAGAGTCATATTACTTGAGAGGTTTAGGACACAAAATTTTCTATTCCCAGAGATCTGTGAGTGGCATGATAGTCACGTGGAATCAGTCCCCTTAACTGAAGCAGGAAAAATGTTAATATGAAAGGAGGGAAGTTGGAAAGACAGGTAATGCTGCTGAGCATCAGTCTCACTGGTCAGTTTTCCATGGAGGCATATCACTGCAGCCTTGCCCTTCCAGAAAGCAGGAGAGACCATGGAAAACAAGACTGCTTTATGTCAGGGGTGCCAAGGGCCCCGCTTTTGAACAGAGACACTAGTGATCTAATGTTGGATGTTCTTTTAGACAGACAGGGAGCATAGGGTCTTAGTCTTACTTCTGAGCCATACTGAAATGATGGGAACAGTGGCCACCCAGATGGCCTCAGAACCTCTTCATAATGGTCACCATGTGCAGATGATAATTTTTCTGTTCACACTAATCAGAACTAGGGCTTCCATTCTTAGAGACACTGGGAGATAAGGAGCTGAGGCTAAAGAGCATAAGTCCTCTGATCTTAGTGGTTTCCTTATCCATAAAATGGTGACAATAATATTGCATACAGTGCTTGTGAAAATTAAATACGGCAATACAGATGAAGTGCTTAGGAAAGTTCCTCATTAAAATGAGCACGCAGTTCATTGCTACCTAGTGTCATTATGATGAGAGTTCCCGAGTTTGAGAAACTATATATGTTAACTTGAAGCAAACACCTATGGAGTTCCAGTTCTGAAAACAAAATTCACTACAAATCCAACAAAAACACAAATGCATTCTAGCTGCTCATGGGGGTTATCTGGGAGGATCCTGATTTCTTAAAACACTGTGGGTTTGTGGGTATTCTGGATGTTTGACGGGAAAAGGTTGGTTGACAATTCTGCCATTCTAGTCAGTGGCTCTAGAATGATGGCTTTATAACTTATGGGAGAACAGTCCCACGTTTCCTTTCTTTCCTTCTTTTATGTGTATGATTGTGTGTGTGTATACGTGGGTGCGTGTGTAGACCAGAGGTGTCTTCCTCAGTTGATGTACATCTTATTTTTTTTTTTTTAGTTTTTAAACTTTTTATTATTTTTTTAAAATTTTATGTGTATGAGTATATTGCTGTCCTGTAGGTAGGTATAAGGCCCACAGAAGTCAGAAGAGGGCATCAGATGTTGGAACTGGAGTTAAGTAAGGATGATTGTTAGCTGCTTTGTGGGTGCTGGGAATCAAACTCAGGTCCCCTGCAAGAGAAACCAGTGCTTTTAACTGCTGAGCCATTTCTCCAGCCCCTACACCTTAATTTTTTTCAGAGTATCTCACTAAACCTGTAGTCCTATAGCCTGCTTGGCTTACTTTTTAAAAATTTATTTTTATTATTTAAATGTGTGTGTGTGTGTGTGTGTGTGTATGTGTGTACCCAGGCATGTGAGTACCAGAGGAGGCCAGAAGAGGGTGCTGAATCCTCTGGAGCTAGAGTTACAGATGCCTGTAAGCCACCCAACATGCTTGCTGCGGACTGAATTATGTCCTCTGCAAGAGTAGCAGGTGCTCTTAACCATTGAACCATCTCATCTCTCCAGACTTGAGATCTAAACTCAAGTCCTCAGGCTTTACAGAAAACATTTTACCCACTAGACATCTTCCCATTCCTGGAACAGTCTCATTTTCAATCGGTAAAAAACACAGCCTTGGGGCTGAAGAGATGGCTCAGCAGTTAAGAACACTGGTTGTTCTTGCAGAAGACCCGGATTCTAATCCCAGCACCCACATGGCAGCTAACAACTATCCCTAACTCCAGTTTCAGGGGATCCGATAGCTTCTTCTGTCCTCCGTGGTCACTGCATGACACAGGTGCACTTACCTACATGCAGGCATAACATTAATACATATAAAATAAAAATAACAAATAAAATATTTTAAAAAACCCCACAGCCTTGTGTCTCAATCAGCCCACAAATCCATTTGTAAATATTTCTTTCTTCCAAGAGGTGAACAAGCTGCATAGGCAAATTCTGGTCAGAGTCAGTAAGATACTGTATATGTTCCTAATAGGAACTCAGAATCATAAATTGCAGTTAGGAATGGCCAAGATTGGAAGGCATTCCTCATACCAACCTATTTATTTTATTTTCTTCTGAAAACTACTTATTAATTGTGCTTGTAAAAAAGTTTTCTTTGTGCCAGGCATGGTGGTGCACACCGTTAATCCCAGCATTTGGGAGGCAGAGGCAGAGGCAGAGGCAGACAGATCTCTGTGAGTTCAAGGCCAGCCTGGTCTACATAGTGAGTTCCAGGACAGCTGGGGCTACAGGGAGACCCTGTCTCAAAAAAGACCCCAAAAAAAGTTTACTTTATAAACTATTTTTTTTCTTGTATTTTTCATGCAATATTCAATCTGAACTATTTGGTTTCTACCAGCACAGACCAAAGAGACCTGTGCATTTTACAAGTGAAAAGATGTCAGGTTGTGGTTCATCTACAATTCCAAGATGGAGTAAGAAACTATCCTGATGCTGTAAGTGATCAACATTTTTTTTAGGCTATTTAAAACAACAGCAGCAACAACAACAACAACAAAACCTTCATGAAAAAAGAGAATAGTAGTTACTAGAACCCAGGAAGGACATGTGGAAGGGCATGGAGAAGGGATGACAATGGATACAGGAGAGCAGTTGGATATGAGGAATAACTTCAGTGTCCTATGGCACAGTAAGATAACTTGGTTGACAACAGTTAATTATATATTTCAAAGCAGCTAGTAGAGATGACTTTTACTGTTCTCAAGAGTCTCAAAGACATGATAGGTGTTTAAGGACAGATGTGTTGATCACCCTAATCACATTGTGTGCATGTGTGGCTTGAATGTGACGTGTTCCCAGGCTCATGTTTTCAAACACTTGGTCCCCAGCTGGTGGAATTGTTCTGGAGGTTGTGGATCCTCTCTGGGGACAGGCCTTGAGGTTTTATAGTCTGGCCCTACTTCATGCCCATTATGTCTCCTGACTGTGGACTCAGTGTGACACGATGCCTTGGCTGCTACCACTAAGCCCTTCCTGCCATGATGGACCATACCACCATTTCCTAAACCATCAAACTCCAATATATAGTTTCAATCCATTTGTCACACAGACGGCCCTGGTTAAACTAAATGGGTCACAAAACAAACCCAAAAGTCAGAAATCTGGGAAA